CGTCATCATGAGCGGCCACGCCTTTTTCCGGCCGTTGTTGCTCATGTGCGTCACATCCGAATATAAGATGATCCCCCCCACAACTTCGGACCAACTGAAGTGTTCCTGCAGTGCACGACAAAGCGGCAACGGACACACGGTTTAACACTCAAGATGCTATTGAGAGATCAGTGCTGCGATGGATGCATGACTCAGGATTGGGTTTGGGGTGGCAACGTGGTCTTTCCTTACCTGAGCATCATTCCACCACGTTCCTGTTTCGGGCGTGGTATAGCGACGACCGTCTGCGTCAGGGTCCTCATCTACACGCGCCTTGAGCTTGAAGCCGGGCGCGTTGTTGGGATGTCCAAACATTTCAGCGAATGCCTGGTGTACGGTGGCGAAAGCAGGTGAGAGGAGATGCATGGTTCGTGGCGGAGAAGGTGGGTGTACGGTTAATACAAGGATAACTAAGTACATGCAAACCCTGTGTGCCTCATCATCATTTCACGGCCTTGAATGCAAAGTCGGCTTACCTGGGCTGAGTTCTGGAAGAGCAAGCGCTGTGGTGGATGACCGTCAATCTCGAACGTCGCCACCGACCATCCGCGATTGAGCCCTGCCAAGCGCTCCAACTCAAACCGCTCCAGATCCTTACAGTTCCGGAGCTCCGAGTTCACAAGAGGCGCAAGGCCGGGCTCTACGACTAGCTGAAGCAGGCCGTTGATGTCAGCCTCGGCCATTCCCATTCCGCCATTCACGCGCCGGACGAAATGCAGTAGCTTCAACGCGAGCGGATTGAGGGGCATGGCATTGCTCTGTCCAGAGATGACGGTTGGCGGCGCGGCATGACTCCCTTCGGGCCGGCTCTCAGGATGGTCAGTCGTCTCAGCCGTAGGAGCTCCATGCCGTGGTTGATGTTCATCTTCAGGAGGCCCCTCGTTCACGTCGTTGGGAGTTTCGTCAACGTGAGCATCAGGAACGCGTGGAGGTCGGCTCACACTGACGGCGTTGGATGCGTTAGACGCTGTAGGTGAACCGGGAGCGGCTGGAGCGTCTGACAGAATGTCGTGGACGAATAGCAAAGCGTGAAGACCGGCGGTCGGTGCAGATCGCGTGGGCCTCGCCACGGCGGATAGTCCTTGGCAAGGGGTCCGCCGTGACTTATGACCGCCATAAACTTGGGCGTTGGGGAACCATCTGTTGCAGAACTCGCAAACGACGCCTGGTAAAGAGCCCATCAGTTACGGATCCGTTGTAGAGTCGAGACCTGGCCTATGAAGCTACTACCCGTGATGAATCTTGTGAACGCATTAACTACCCCGTTCAAGAAGTCTGTGACAGCTACACGATCATCGCCAATGCGCGCACTGTGGTGGGCGGCTTGTATCACTGCACGACTGGCACTTGACGCACGCGCTAATGTATATGACTAGCTAACGTTGTCGAGCCGCGTGGTCGTTACCAGGCACGATACAGACCACCCATAGCACGGGCCGTCTTCCCTACAAGGCGTGTCGCCCCCGTTTACAGCGACCACGACGTGGCCAGGGGAGATGCACTGGATCTTAAGTCTCATGGTCGTGTGTGTGATTCGCAAGCAAGGCGAGAAGGACGTGCCTATTGAGTCTAGAACAAGTGTTTATGAACTGTGCGTGAGAGTCGAGGAGGATGAGGAAGAGCGGGAAGAGATCCGTTTGGATCTCTGATTGTGTCGCGAATCGATATAGCCTCAAAATCAGAATTACGTAGGTGAGCTACAGAGGCGTCAAACAAACCTGGAAATGCATATGTACAGTTACAACTTAACAAGAAACTCGTATCATTCATAAATAGTAAACATTCATATCCTTGGGACTGTTCTTGAACAATCCTTACTCGATAGCGATACGGGAACTACCCGGTAACTCCATGCCGTAACGTATAATTGGTGCTTGGAGCAAATACATATATCGTGCCGCACCGTGAAGAACGAATATCCAAGAATGGATGGCTGTCGATAACGCATCTACGCTTGTGCGTTGGGCCTGTGCTTCATACCACTCCTTCTAAGCACCTTGTGTAATGTCTGTGCAAGAATGGATGACAATCCAACACCATACCACAACGGATTCACCAAGTCGCGCAACGCGGAGGCCTGAACGATGCATCGTTGCACAGTCTAAACATGGCTGTCGATAACGCATCTACGCTAGTGCGTTGGGCCTGCGCTTCATACCACTCCTTCTAAGCACCTTGTGTAATGTCTGCGCAAGAATGGATGACAATCCAACACCATACCACAACGGATTCACCAAGTCGCGCAACGCGGAGGCCTGAACGATGCATCGTCGCACAGTCTAAACATGAATGTCGATAACGCATCTACGCTTGTGCGTTGGGCCTGTGCTTCATACCACTCCTTCTAAGCACCTTGTGTAATGTCTGTGCAAGAATGGATGACAATCCAACACCATACCACAACGGATTCACCAAGTCGCGCAACGCGGAGGCCTGAACGATGCATCGTCGCACAGTCTAAACATGGCTGTCGATAACGCATCTACGCTTGTGCGTTGGGCCTGCGCTTCATACCACTCCTTCTAAGCACCTTGTGTAATGTCTGCGCAAGAATGGATGACAATCCAGCACCATACCACAACGGATTCACCAAGTCGCGCAACGCGGAGGCCTGAACGATGCATCGTCGCACAGTCTAAACATGGCTGTCGATAACGCATCTACGCTTGTGCGTTGGGCCTGCGCTTCATACCACTCCTTCTAAGCACCTTGTGTAATGTCTGTGCAAGAATGGATGACAATCCAACACCATACCACAACGGATTCACCAAGTCGCCCAACGCGGAGGCCTGAACGATGCATCGTCGCACAGTCTAAACATGAATGTCGATAACGCATCTACGCTTGTGCGTTGGGCCTGTGCTTCATACCACTCCTTCTAAGCACCTTGTGTAATGTCTGTGCAAGAATGGATGACAATCCAACACCATACCACAACGGATTCACCAAGTCGCGCAACGCGGAGGCCTGAACGATGCATCGTCGCACAGTCTAAACATGGCTGTCAATAACGCATCTACGCTTGTGCGTTGGGCCTGTGCTTCATACCACTCCTTCTAAGCACCTTGTATAATATCTGCGCAAGAATGGATGACAATCCAACACCATACCACAACGGATTCACCAAGTCGCGCAACGCGGAGGCCTGAACGATGCATCGTCGCACAGTCTAAACATGAATGTCGATAACGCATCTACGCTTGTGCGTTGGGCCTGTGCTTCATACCACTCCTTCTAAGCACCTTGTGTAATGTCTGTGCAAGAATGGATGACAATCCAACACCATACCACAACGGATTCACCAAGTCGCGCAACGCGGAGGCCTGAACGATGCATCGTCGCACAGTCTAAACATGGCTGTCGATAACGCATCTACGCTTGTGCGTTGGGCCTGCGCTTCATACCACTCCTTCTAAGCACCTTGTGTAATGTCTGTGCAAGAATGGATGACAATCCAACACCATACCACAACGGATTCACCAAGTCGCGCAACGCGGAGGCCTGAACGATGCATCGTCGCACAGTCTAAACATGGCTGTCGATAACGCATCTACGCTTGTGCGTTGGGCCTGCGCTTCATACCACTCCTTCTAAGCACCTTGTGTAATGTCTGTGCAAGAATGGATGACAATCCAACACCATACCACAACGGATTCACCAAGTCGCGCAACGCGGAGGCCTGAACGATGCATCGTCGCACAGTCTAAACATGACTGTCGATAACGCATCTACGCTTGTGCGTTGGGCCTGTGCTTCATACCACTCCTTCTAAGCACCTTGTGTAATGTCTGTGCAAGAATGGATGACAATCCAACACCATACCACAACGGATTCACGTTTGTTATTATTGATAATCGTGTTAGAATGACGTCCGCTGGCCCTAAACCATTGTGGCAAAGCCTAAAAGTGCGCAGTACATCTTTCCTAAGTAATAATTCAAGACGGTCGTTGTGTGTGTGACGTGAGAATCACCGATTAACTTACCCCAACCCCGTACAAAACCAGTTGCAACTTAGAGTTTGATGAAATGCGTTGTTACTTTGCAACCGAAAACACTGTACTTTGCAGGGATTTGACTAATTTCGCACTGTAGGTTTCACACCAGGTTTACCCTTTGTTGTGATTGATGTGTTGGCAACCGTCATTGGCCGACGCATCTCAAACGATTCCCCCCGCAACACAGTCATCAGCCAAGAGGTACTTCAGCCATTGGGCGGCTGAGATCGAGCGGAAGGTGGGTTTATGCTAGGGTGGCTACACGTACACCGTCCAATGTAGCCTGATAGGGTTACATTTCTCTCTCTAGTCTCGCAACTCACCCCAACCACCCTCGTGCCCCACCCACCTGCTTCCGTCACTCCCTGGGCCAACACTTTGACGCTGCTCGTTGCCTTGACACACGCCTCTCCAGATCGGCCTTAGCGCGAAGCATAGTGGCTACTATTTCAGACTTAGTTGAAGCGGCTGTTTTCGTAAACACATAACAGTGATACACGGCCGATTATGCCTTCGTGGGATTCAGTAGCAAAACCCTTTCGAAACCGGCTCAACCCTTCCGCGCGATTTGCAACTTTGCTCTTCCTACGATTACCATGACACGTGCAACACGTAACCAAGCAATGGAGGAGGAACAGGCCGGCCGCCGCGCGACAAGGGGGACGTCTAAACAAATCGATAGGGAGAGTGGTGGCGGCGCTAAAAAAAACAATGCGTCCGTCGCTCGTGGCATTGGGCCGAAAAAAGCGGCGGCAAAAAAGGTCGCGCGCGGTCAACAGGAGGCCGGCAAGAAAGCGGCAGACAAGGGGCCTAAACCAACGCCACGCAAGCGTGTTTCTACAGTGAACAAAGCTGCGGATGGTGCCTCTGCTGGAACCGAGCCCGGTCCGAGTAAAGACGGCACCACTGGCGGCAACGAAGATCCGGGGCGAGGGAGCGCGAGTCTTGCACTCCCGTCGGCGGAGATGAAGGGTTCGGCGACAGGGGGAAATCACGGAGGCGATCCTCGCGCCGAGCATGCCGCAACCAAGGAGTCCGAGGAGGCGGCAACGCAACACCATCTGACGCTGCTCCAGCCGAGCGTGGTCGAAGTTTCTGCAGCCGTGCTGGATAAGGACAAGGTGGCACAACATGAGTCGGTGGGGCTGGTCGGTGGCTCTCCTCCTTCTGGTGGACGGGGAAGGCGTAGGCAAAGGAAGAGCGATGGGGAGGAGGATGATGACACCGCCGTACCCGGGGACCTCACCACGCGGGCGAAGAGGCGCCAGACGACAGGTAGTGCTGACAACGCCGGAGGCGCGGAAGTTGACACACCGCGAGGCGCCAAGGAAGCTAGTGGCAAGGCGGGCGGTCAAGCATTGCGCCAGAAGGGCCGCCCCGCAGCAAGAAAAGCATCTGGCGGAAGGAGAGGCAAGAAAGCAGCGACAGGAACGAGGCCGAAACGGGGCGATGAAGACCCCGGTGATACGGAGGAGGAGGAGGATGAGGAGGAGGATGCGGAGGGAGAGGAGGATGAAGAGGAAGCGGAGGAGCAAGACGCGGATGTTGGGGAGGATGCTAAAGATGAGAATGATGGCGGGGAGGACGAAGAGGAGGAGGAGGAGGAGGAGGAGGAGGAGGAGGAGGAGGAGGAGGAGGAGGAGGAGGAGGAGGAGGAGGAGGGGGATAAGGAGGAGGAGCAGGGTGACGAGGAGGAGGAGGAGGAGGAGGAGGAGGAGGAGGAGGAGGAGGAGGAGGAGGAGGAGGCATCAGAGAAGGAGGAGGAGGAGGAGGAGGAGGAGGAGGAGGAGGAGGAGGAGGAGGAGGAGGAGGATGTGGCGCCAGGGAAGAGACGGGGCGGGCGTGGCGGTCGGGTGAGTGGGACAGGGAAGGAGGGGGGCCGGACTCGCCCTTCCCGAAAACGCGGGGCAGGTGACGCTGCGCGCGGCGAAGCAGCGGGCAAACCGAAGGCGCGTAAGGTGAAGGTCGAAAGTGAAGGGGTTGGTAAAAAGCAAGGGAGCCAGGGTGCAAAAGGGGATGGAGGAGGAAAGGGTGGCCGCGCCAAAGGGGTTCGAGTGGGTACCGGCAAGAAGGAACCTGCCGGTAAACGTCGCAGCGTGCGCCGAAGCACCCCGCGGAAAGGTGGCAACGAGAAGGCGCAGGCTGCCCCAAAACCGAAGGGACAACAGAAAGGTGAGCATTGTGTCCAATACAACTGGCGTGACGTGTTAAACAATCTGCTAAACCGTCCCAAATAACACCCTTTATTCACATTGTTTCTATCCTGCAGGGAAAGAGAAGGTTGACGAATCTGCCAAGCAAGGTAAACCCTCTTGTCTCAAACCAGTACAACCCTAAACCCGATCTAGATTCAAACCTTTCTGAATATGCATGCATGTCTGGCCCCGCCTTGAAACCGATCGACTCCAATTTTTATTTTCCCACTCCCTCTACATCTCAGCCCCTCGCGTTACAGGCATTGGGCCGCCCTTAAGCGTGCAACGAATGCATCTAACGAAGGCTGCCGGAATAGCGAGTGTTACACCGCTCTCGTCCGGCGCACCAAGGTTCTACACGCCATGGGCCGGCCCCAGCAAAGTCGCTGCGACGGCACCCGGCGCGCCAAGAGGAGAGGAATCCGAATCCCCTCCACCCGTCCCCATCACGCACTCCTCACTCGCCTCACCCTCGTACCCATTTCGGCAACTCCACGCTTCTCCTGTCCGGGGCAGGGCGGTCTCCCCCATCGCCGGTCCTTCGCGCGGGCATCAGGCAGGCACTTATGCCAATCCCTTCCCTGAGCTCCCCTTTTCCCGCCAGCGTGATAGTGTGAGGGCACACGGGACTGCTGCAGAAGACGTTGATACCCTTGGCCAGAGGGGGGATTCTTCACACCCTTTTCCTCCGCTCATGGGTGCCCTAGGTGAAAGTGAGGAGCACGAGCAGTTTGTTACACGGGAGGAGTTCCAGGCGCTGCGGTCTGAGATGTACGCCATGTTTGCACAGCTCGGCCTGCGTCGTGGAGTACCTGCCAGCTATGCCGGCGGGTCGGCAGCCCTGCCTATGGCTGGTACCCCGCCGCCGATGAGCGCCGTGGACAAGGCACGAGTGCTAGTGTTGCAGGAGACAAACCCATTCCCGGTATGTGGCGGGCCAAATGGGGCGGGTTGGGGTTGACGTGGCAACAAGGTCGGGGTTGGGGCTGACGTGGCGGGTTCGAAGGGAACACGGGAGCGGCGCGTGACGAGGCGACGCGTATCAGGTGGGTGGGGGGTGACGTGGCATGGGGTGGGTGGGTGTGACGTGGCAAGTGGGGCGGGTTGTTGGTGAACGTGGCGGATGCAAGTGCGTGTGACATGGCAAAAGGTGAGGGTTGGGATATGACGTGGCGGTGTGAAAGGGTGCAAGGGAGTGCCGCATGACGGAGCGAGGCGTTTCAGGTGGGTGGGGGGTGACGTGGCTCTTGGTGGGGGGTGTGACGTGGCTCTTGGTGGGGGGTGTGACGTGGCAAGTAGGGCGGGTTGTTGGCAGATGCAAAAGGGTGTGGCGTGGCAGAATGGGAGGGTTGGGGCTGTCGTGGTGGTTTGGAATGGTACACAGGAGCCGCGCGTAACGAGGCGACGCGTGAGAGGTGGGTGGGGGGTGACGTGGCATGGGGTGGGAGGGTGTGACGTGGCACGTGGGGCTGGTTGTTGGTGGACGTGGCGGATGCAGGAGGGTGTGACGTGGCACGTGGGGCTGGTTGTTGGTGGACGTGGCGGATGCAGGAGGGTGTGACGTGGCGGAAGGTGAGGGTTGGGGAAGACGTGGCGGATGCAGGTGGGTGTGACGTGGGGGAAGGTGAGGGTTGGGGATGACGTGGCACCCTACAAGGGTACACGTGAGCGGCGCATGACAAAGCGAGGCGTTTCAGGTGGGTGGGGGGTGACGTCGCTCTTGGTGGGGGTGTGACGTGGCAAGTAGGGCGGGTTGTTGGCGGATGCAAAAGGGTGTGGCGTGGCGGCATGTGAGGGTTGGGCCTGACGTGGCGGTTTGGAATGGTACACAGGAGCGGCCACTGATGAGGCGACGCGTGTCAGGTGGGTGGGGGGGTGACGTGGCATGGGATGGGAGGGTGTGACGTGGCACGTGGGGCTGGTTGTTGGTAGACGTGGCGGATGCAGGAGGGTGTGACGTGGCACGTGGGGCTGGTTGGTGGACGTGGCGGATGCAGGAGGGTGTGACGTGGCGGAAGGTGAGGGTTGGGGATGACGTGGCGGATGCAGGTGGGTGTGACGTGGGGGAAGGTGAGGGTTGGGGATGACGTGGCACCCTACAAGGGTACACGTGAGCGGCGCATGACGAAGCGAGGCGTTTCAGGTGGGTGGGGGGTGACGTCGCTCTTGGTGGGGGTGTGACGTGGCAAGTAGGGCGGGTTGTTGGCGGATGCAAAAGGGTGTGACGTGGCAGCATGTGAGGGTTGGGGCTGACGTGGCGGTTTGGAATGGTACACAGGAGCGGCCACTGACGAGGCGACGCGTGTCAGGTGGGTGGGGGGGTGACGTGGCATGGGATGGGAGGGTGTGACGTGGCACGTGGGGCTGGTTGTTGGTGGACGTGGCGGATGCAGGAGGGTGTGATGTGGCACGTGGGGCTGGTTGGTGGACGTGGCGGATGCAGGAGGGTCTGACGTGGCGGAAGGTGAGGGTTGGGGATGACGTGGCGGATGCAGGTGGGTGTGACGTGGCAGCATGTGAGGGTTGGGGATGACGTGGCGGTTAGAAAAGGTACACGTGACAACTGCGCATGACGAAGCGAGGCGTGTCAGGTGGGTGGGGGGTGACGTGGCTTGTGCTAGGGAGGTGTGACGTGGCAGAATGGGCCGGGTTGTTGGTGGACGTGTCGGATGGCGCAGGGTGTGACGTGGCAAGTTCACACAGTGTTGCTAGTCACAATCCCATGGTCACGCGGCCACCCACATAACTGCTGGTTTCTCTCTCCCATGTCGTGTTGTATACCTTACACCACTGCGCAGAACAAAGCCTACTTAGTGTGCTCTCAGCTCATGTTTCTGAACCCGCCGGAGAAAATACAGTACTACCCTGCACCGGAGGAAGTGTTCGAAGCGTTCTCTGTCCACTTGTCTGCAGAAGGGCTCGAGGCAATGAAGCTGCTGTGGTTGCACAATGACAAGTCAACCATGGGAGTCTTCAACCACCAGCTGTCCTCAACAAGGTCAACTATCAACTCCACCCTCAGGCCAGCAACATACACCGGCATGGGCCTTGCTGATTACAGCCATCTCGTGGATAGCCTGCCCACTGAGCTACACCCAACGACCTGGTTCGATGACGTTCAACTCCTAGCCGAGTACAGAGATGGTATGTGCAACTCGAAAACACAATATGCCCTACCATATGCCAGTTGGCAGTTACATATCACCGTGCGATGTGGCTCACCCTGACACTCATCCCCCCACTTGATTTCTCTACAAAACCCTTTCCAACCCATACCCTCCCTGCCAAAAAACAGAACAATGGGCCCTCAACTGGCACTTTGACAAGGCCACCGGGACGCCCTTCAGCAACCCCTTGTTCGCTTATGCGTTCAAGATCTCCTTCAAGAGGGGCGGGGCGGTGTTCACCAAGTTCAAGAGCCGCATGGTGGCATGGGGCCTGTTTTCGGTAAGGATGTAGATATGTGTTTGTACCCCCATGCCTCATCCCCTTAACCCCTTGCCTGTACTTCAACCCGAATCCCTGGTCGATTAGGCCTTTGCAGTTACGTAGATAGTGACGACTGCATCACCGCTTTCAGTTGCCTCATTTACCCGTAACCTACCCTCCTCATAAACCACCCACCCAACCCTACTACACCACATTGCAGATCGAATGGCCCCTTCTGCAGGATAAGCGTCGCAAGCGAATCAGTAGCCAGCCAGAGCAGAACAGGCCAGACTACCAGGAGTGGTGCGAAAAGGTCAAACAGATGATCCATTTTGCTGTCGTGGAGCGGAGGATCCCCCACGATCCGGCTATGGGTGCGTTCGTCTTTCCGAACAAGTTCCTCATCGACGACGGCGACCTTGGAGATGTCGTCCTTGCCCAACGGGCGCTTTCAAGGCCCGCCAATGCGTAGGCTATTTGACCTGGTGCTAAGACTGATTGTTGCTAGCATGCTGAATAATGGTTCTTGTAAACCGCAATAATAAATGCAATTTTGAAATCCCCAAAATCCAAAATGAACAAAAACAGAATTTAGTATTGAATAAATTGGTCACGAATTTGCAACAAAACGGATTGCGTCGGAATGTCATCCGGAAAAGCTCGCGTGCCAAATTGGAACTTGAACCGAGCCAAGCCTTGTCGCGAGATGTGTCTCGGAGCTCCTATCAAATGACTCCAACCGTCGGTCCAAATTGGCTACGGATTTTTTTACGCGAAGACAATCGAAATCAAAATTCGACCAAACTTGGCATAGGGTTTTTGTGATGCAGCCTCTTCCAGTCCTTGAACAGCCTTGGCAAGTGGTGAGCTTGGACTTCATCACCGGGTTACCACCTACCAAAGCTGGTTACGACGCCATTCTAGTCGTCAGAAGACCAATAGCAAACTGAAGAACCTGTGAAGACCAATAGCAAAATCCAAGCTTATCTCCAAGCCTCAGAGGCTTGGAGCAGGCTACAGGAAGTCCCTCGTCTTCCTGGTACAGCTCCTCGTACTTGCTCCCAGGTAGGATATGTCGAAGCAGTAAGTTGAAGAGTACTGGCTAGCTAAGAACGAGAGTAGTAGTCGAGAAGAACAGTAGCTAGCTTAGTACGAGAATAGAAGCTTAGGATCGTAACCAGCTCAGATACCAATGATACAGGGCTACGGCGCAGCGGCGCACGGCGCGGCTGGCGTGGCTGGCTTAGCGAGGAGAGAGCGGCGCCGTAGCTAAGAAGATAAGAAAGAAGAACATTGCAGCGGAAGGGAGAGAAGCTAGGCTAGTGAGAGAAGCCCAGCTCTGGAGACGTAGAAGAGAGATCAAGAAGGAGAGTCAATAAGAAGATTCTGAGATTATATAAGAATGATCCAAGAATGAGATGATACAAGAAGAAGTAGGAAGAGATATTTATGTTAGAGAGAATAAGCGCGGCTCGAGAGGAAAGCCCGCATCGCCACGCTTTGAGCATGGCATCTTGGCATAGCGCCTCGTTGCCATGCCTCGCTGGATTCTAGAGTGTGACGGGGATAAGAGGAAGATGTCTATGCTAGCAAGTGTTCATGTTCGAAGCTAACTAGGCATCGACCCTTCGGAAATTCCCATGCATCCCGCATGGTGAATTCCCGTCTTGTTACAGTAGCGATCCTGCCGCCCAAGGTGCTCCTTAGTAGCGATCTTGCCGCCCAAGGTGCTTCTTAGTAGCGATTCTGCCGCGCAAGGTGCTCCTTAGTAGCGATCATGCCGCCCAAGGTGCTCCTTAGTAGCGATCCTGCCGCCCAAGGTGCTCCTTAGTAGCGATCCTGCCGCCCAAGGTGCTTCTTAGTAGCTCCCCGCTTTTCCCCTCGTATCCCCCCCGGTTATGTTCCACGTAGTAGGTCCCCGTATCCGCCTCCTGATAACCCGCAAGTTTATCGAATCGTCGCCGTTTGTTCTAACGACCTCTCCCTTTATCCGCTCTATGCTTGTGCGCTTCGGATTCCTCGCTGTCTTTATTGGTTCAGTGTTACATGCTCCCCACCCCACTCTCCTCTATTCAAACCCGACCCTAAAACTTCCCGAACCCAGTGTCTACGCTGTGGCGCGAGCCCGAAATGCTGCCATCTTTCCTGCTCAAGGCCGGAAGGTCTGAGACGTCTTGAACCTTGAAACCCCCCCCCCCCCACCGGGCTAACATCCCACGCTTCCCGTCTCTTCTTCCCCGCCCCTCTTCCTCCCAACCCCTGCATTTCCCCTGTTTCCCACCTGTAATGTGGGTTCACCTGTAATGGCCACCCACCACAAGGTGCCTGCCAGCATGTGGTGAGTCGATGAGGCATGCCATTGTTCCAACCAGGGGAGGTGTGGTCCGTGAAGGTTCCAGGAAACGTCTGCCCCATTGCTGTACGTGTAACGTGCCTCTCCCCTTGCACCACAATGCCCCATGATCCCCCTTGCTCCATGCTCCATGCTCCACCTCTCTCTCCTTTCTATACCCCCTGCTCCGTGCTCCACGT